CGGGGGGTGTTCGAACCCCAACGTTGCCGTCTGGTACCCGGCTTGCCGGGGGGTGTTCGATCCCAGACGATGCCGATCGCGGTGGAGGCCGGATCGATGCTCCTAAGTGGAATGCCGTTGGGTACCCGGCTTGCCGGGGGGTGTTCGATCCCCAACGTTGCCGTCGCCGACGTAGCGGGACGATGCCTGGTCACGCCAGAAGACCGGCGGGAGTTCGGTGGCCCGAGGGGTCGTTAATAATCTGGACATTTATAAACGTGTGCTATGCATTGGAGAATGCCATGATTGAATTTAATGTTGAGCACGTCTGGGTTATTAACCGTGTTATGCATGATTATACCTTGAATTGCGTTGTACAAGCTTGATGAGCAATTGGCCATGTTATGGCGATATTCTAACGTGCAGGGCTTGTGTATGTGCCGAGGCGAGGTAAGGGCGCCTGTGATTGTTATGACATGTTGGATGTCGGTATTGCATGTTTAGAATTGTTCAGAGGTACGCTTTGGCCTAAGCGAGGTTTAGGTAGTTGCTTATTGAGAAGTGTTCTCATGGTTGTATAACCAAACCATTTCAGACCAACGACCGTGATTGATCCGGAGACGCTGCCAGAATACTACGGGGATTGAGGATAGGTCGAGTTAGCTCATCTTTTGAGTGCTCCTTTTTTGTAGAGGAGTTAAGCTTACCAACCACCCGATTCCTTGTTGTTGTGCGTGGTTCATTGATAGTGGCCTCGTAGATGGTTTGCAAATGTATGTGTTGTAATCGATGTTATGTTTATAAAAGTGTCTTGTTAATGTGTATTCTTTGTCTCTCTACTATCCCGTTGTTTATATGTTGTTTGGAGAGTTCGAGGTTGCTTCCGCATGCGTTGCTCGTTAGTATTTTGATTGGGTCGGCGACAAGTCCTGGGATGTCTCGTACATTACGACCACAAAGGGATGATCGTGCGCTCGTTCGGGTTCGGGGCGTGACAACAAAACGCGTAACACAGTGGATGATGACGATTTTCCTCATAGAAAAATGGACGATTCTTGTTGCCTTTGAGAGTATAATAGCAAACTCTCTTCCAGAATTACAAGAAAAAACCAAAGCAATGTGCAATGGTTAACTAACTTGTGCACCACGTAATAACATCTTCAGCATTATGATGCAAGGTAAGTCAAACATGCATAGACAAAATCGAAGCTTTAGCTTGTATATTCACATAAAGTGCGAGAGAGAGATATATATAGAGAGAGAGGCTTACTCTGATGTCGAGAATTATGACATCAGAGGAGACAGCTGAGGCTTCCTTGGCTCCATCCACGACCAATTTTGCCCTCCCATCCAAACCGTCTACTCCGCCACCACAGCCGCCTCCTCCTCCACTGCCATTACCGCCGCCGCCGCCATGTCCACCGAAGGCACCAAAAGGAGCAGCGGAGATTTTAACGCACTTCAAACAATACCTCGCAGAAGCCGGAGGAGACAAAGATGGGGCCAAAGCAAAGCTAGGGCTGCGGATCCGCTCAGCGTAGATGCAGTAGAGTCTATGAGCGATGAGCCGAGACGAGGAGTAGTTTATGTATAGTTACCAAAATTTACATCCATGCTATAATACATTAAAAAGTTGTTTGCTGAGAGTAAATCCGAGGAGAGTAGTTTCCAAATTTACGTGTGGTTTGGTAACTCAATTAAGTCTTGAAAACTAAAATATTTATCACTCAATAAAAACAAACACTTTTGACAATCATGATTAGGTTAAGCTTAATAGGTTTAATTAAGTCAGAAAATCACTAGGTAAGGAAAGGCCACTTAATTCATTCGATAGAAAAAGATGTTTATTGGCAATTAGAACCTTGCTAAATATTTTGTAAAAACTTATTAAAAGTTCTCCTGATTAGCTACCAAAGTAGTATTATTTGGTATTCAATATTCACTTATTATTAAACATATCTTATTTATATTTTCAACATTGATAAAATTGAAAATTAAGTGCTGAAAATTCGATGCCATTGATGGCATTGATCTCAACTCAATCATAAAAACTTTCAAATCCCCAGGGTCATGATGACCTTCAATGAGCTTTGCGTTCGTGAGAAATAACCCATATTCGTAAAAGAACATTTCTGTAAATTTTCGGTATGTTTTCATCCATCAGAGGTTTTGATATAAATGGAGAGCCCCCCATTCATAAAGAGGAAAGGAGTCATTATCCTCGTACTTGAATTGACATGTTTATGATTTTCCGTTTGTAATTTGGAATTACAAAGGTATATCCAATCTATTTCAAATTTCATTTGGAAAAATGTAATTGACGTCCTTATCAAATTGGGTGGATTTTGGAAAAGAATATTTTCATTTTCCATTTTCATTTATTACTATACAAATTTGCTTCAAATGATGTACGCTGGGATAAGTACAGCGCAAGTGCCATAGCTTTTGTACGGAGGACACTTAAGTGCCATAACTTTCAAAAAATGATCACTCAAGTGCCACTTACGAACTGATCGTGAGGGCCCGAAACCGTGACTTTTCCGGTCGAACGGTGACCTTCCCGGCAAGGCGAGCACCACCAACTTGAAGAGAGGATGTCGGCGAATCATTCCATGGCCTCCGTTCGTCTCGAAATTTCCGTTTTAGCCTCCATTGACGAAGGTAAAAATGCTTCGTAGTCACACAAATCGGCTCGATAAATGTGTGACTACAAAGCATTTTTACCTTCGTCAACGGAGGTTAAAATAGAAATTTCGAGACGAACGGAGGCCATAGAATGATTCACCGATACCCCTCTTCAATCTGGTGGTACTCGCCTTGCCGGAAAGGTCACCGTTTGGCTGGAAAAGCCGCGGTTTCGGGCCCTCACGACCAAACCCTCTGACAAGCTGGTCGTGAGGGTCCGAAATCGCGACTTTTCCGATCAAACGGTGACCTTCCTGGCGAGGCGAGCACCACCAGCTTGAAGAAGGGGTGTCGATGAATCATTCCATGGCCTCCGTTCGTTTCGAAATTTCCGTTTTAGCCTCCGTTGACGAAAGTAAAAATGCTTCGTAGTCACACAAATCGGCTTGATAAATTGTGTGACTACGAAGCATTTTTACCTTCGTCAATGGAGGCTAAAATGGAAATTTCGAGACGAACGGAGGCCATGGAATGATTCGCCGACACCCCCTCTTCAAGCTGGTGGTGCTCGCCTTGCCGGGAAGGTCACCGTTCGACCGGAAAAGCCGCGATTTCGAGCCCTCACGATCAGCTCGTAAGTGGCACTTGAGTGATCATTTTTTTGAAAGTTATGGCACTCAAGTGAGCCAAAAAAAAGTTATGACACTTAAGTGTCCTCCGTACAAAAGTTATGGCACTTGCGCTGTACTTACCCCACTATTATATTTAAAGTAAGTGAAATTTAAAATAAGTGCATTCTGAAAGAAGTAAACAAAATTAAATGAAATGTAATTCAAATGATTTTGAACTTTTATTATTTGAATGTAATGCTCAACTTTAGTGAATATTAAGTAAAATTTATTCAATTAATAAAATAATATATCATTCACATTATTTCAATTTATTTTTGAGTTAAACAGATAGTTTATTCACGTAGTTAACGAGAACTATACTTCAAATTATAAATGTTATTCATTTAATATGATATATTTCTCTTTTTGAATTATTTTCCGAGTAAAGGACTAATTTTATATTTGAAGACACTTTATCTTAATTTGCTTTTTTTTTCAAATATAAAATCAATGACAAAAGTCGAAAGAAGATAAATATTTGGGAAGGACAATTGAAATTTAATTCAAGATTTTTTTATTATTTCTTTTATTGGACAAATCCACTTAAGAATAACATACTTGCTTTCTATTCATTCTTAAGTTTAAATTTAAATAGAATAAATAATAAATGCTTGAGGATGACAAATTACAAAACTAATGCTAATTGAACAAATATGGGCCATGTGACACAATTATGCCATATGGTTTGTCATGTGGCAATTATAGAGGTAAAGTTTACCATATGATGATCACAAAAGCGCATATTCTCTTAGCTCTGGCTTTTCTATAGATATAAGATGAACAAATATTGATATATGTAATTGCATATTCCTTTTCATATGCTTTCATAAATTTAAACAATATTTAACTTTTAGAGGAAAGTCAGTTAGTAATTTCTTTTGGTTTTAAAAGCCACAACAAACAGGCCAAGTTTGCAAGAGACAAGACAAACGTCCATACTATTAAATGTCCGGTGGAACTTTTATTAGAAGCTAAAGCAAAACAAAGTACATTTATTTTTCATAGATCTTCCTTGGATTGCTAACTCACTAGTCTCCATTACTTGCAGTTTTGCTATTGCCAGATTCAAATTGTCTTTGAATGGCAAAATTCCATATCCACTTCCAGACAAAGCAATGAACATGAAGACCTCATGACTCCATATGAAGTTCGGGTTTACATGAACTAGGCAATGACAATGAACTCAAGAAGTTTCTTCTTGATTCCTTGGAGTTTAGTCACTGCATCGCCGATGTCAATTCGTTCCCTCGGAGACTCAGAAGAGCAAGCAACTCCTATTTCGATGATCGAAATCAAACATTCCTGAATACTACACCAGCTTTTGTTCTTGCACTTCGGAGTGACTGCCCATTTACTCTCTGACTTGTTAACTTCCTGAAGTAGAACGGAATCGATTACCTTTTCCACTCGATCTGCTAGAGCTGCCTTTGCGAAGTGATGAAGGTCCAGTCCATTTTCAAACATGTCATCGGTTGGCCTCTTGCTTGTGAACATCTCTAAAACAAGGACTCCGAAGCTATACACATCTCCTTGTGTGGATACCGTACTTCCCAAGCCGTACTCTACAACAGTCAATAGAGTGTAGTGATGCATAGTGAATAATTGAGATCGAAATATAGTCTTGGTGATGTTTTGAGTTTATGCCATTTTGTCCAAGGATCGGTCTTCAAATTACATATTCGATATAAGAAAATAAACTGAAAGACCTAACTACTGTATCATTACCTGGAGCTACGTAGCCAAAAGATCCTTTTACCCTGATAGAGCTTGATTGATCGACCAGTAACTTATGTGTTACTTCCGGAAGGAACCTGGCAAGCCCGAAATCACCTACATGTCCAGTCATTTCATCGTCAAGAAGGACATTGCTGGGCTTTAGATCACAATGAACTATTGGCGTTTCACAGTGATGATGGAGATATTCTAGTGCACAAGCAACATCAATTGCAATATTCACTCTCTCAAGTAGACTCAACTTGCTTCTCGTTGTATATTGCAATGCAATTGGGTGCAGCCATTCATCCAAACTCCCATTCGACATGAATTCATAGACCAGTGCCTTGAAATCATTTCCATTAAAATCAAACCCAGAACATGCCGTGAGTACCTTCACGAGATTACGGTGTCGAATTCTTCTTAAGGCCCCGCACTCGGCTATGAAGCTTTTGGAAGCTCCATGACGCGTAAGGTCAAGAATCTTGATGGCTACGATCGACTGAGTTTGATGAAGAAGCCCTTTGTACACAGACCCAAAACTGCCCACACCGAGCAGATTGGTGGAGGAGAATCCACCCGTCGCTTTAAATATACTGTGGTAAGAAACATGCACAAGTCCATCTTCAGAAGAGCTTGGAGCTGTTGTGTTCTTATTGTGTCTACACCAGAATAAGTACAACAGAGACAATATGCAGGCTACTCCTACAAGAGCAGAGACTGTGGATATTAGAATTTTTGCAGTTCCTCTTATTCTTGTCCGCTTTGACTCTTCATAGACACATTTCGGTAGTTGAAAATCTGGCAGACCCCCGCAAAGCTTATTGTTTCCAACAACTGAAGTTGAAATGGCACTTCTGAAAACTCCTCTTGTAGGCAATTCACCCTCGAAATCATTGTAAGATAGGCTCAAATTCGTCAGATTCAGCGACTCTAGAAATTTTGGGATTTGTCCGGACAATTGGTTGTTGGAAACATTCAAAACGAGTAGACCTCTCATGGAACTCATAGTCAATGGTAGGGGTCCTTCAAAAAAGTTATCATGTACATATAGGCGTTCCATGGATATACAGTTGCCGATACTGCTTGGAATTTGTCCAGATAATCTGTTCCCATGAAGAAGTAATATGCCTAGATTTTTCAAGTTTCCAACTTCTCTTGGAAGAGAGCCATGAAGACTATTTTGAGACAAATCGAGATAAATCGACAAAGATGAGATTCCCACAATTTTCGAGGGTATATTACCGCTAAGGTCGTTGTTTGAAAGGTCCAAGAGAAGTAAATTCTGGCAGTTTCCTAGTGACGATGGTATCGAGCCCCAGAGATTATTGTCAGCCAAGTAAAATTTGGTCAACATACTTAAATTCCCGATAGATTCTGGTATCTGCCCCGAGAACCTATTTTGTCCAAGATCCAGAAACTTCATTTTGTTCAGATTTCCAATCTCGGAAGGAATGTTTCCCGAGATGTTGTTGTCTGACATATGTAGGATCTCCAAATTGATGAGATTTCCAATTCCAGAATGTAAGGTTCCAGAAATATAATTGATTGCTAACGAAAATACTGAAAGGGTGATAGAGAGGTTACCGATACAGTCGGGTATTGGTCCTCGAAAAGCATTGCCGGCTATAACCAATTTTGTCAAGTTTGTGGAGTTGGTTAAAGAGCAGAGGAAGTCAAGATCAGCAGATTGCGCACTTCCTAAGTTGTTTTCGACGATGTTAAACCAATAGAGTCCTCTCATCTTTGAGAAAGAAGGGACTTTCCCGGTAAAGTTGTTACTCGAGATTTCGAAAAAACTGAGATTAGAGGCGTTGGATATTGACTCAGGAATGGGTCCAGTGAGGTGGTTGTCATACAAACCGATTTTCTTGAGATTCGGAAGAGTGAAGCCTAGGTTGCTGGGTAAGCCCCCCTCGATTTGGTTTTCGGCCGCATCAAGGGCTGTCAAAGTGGATATATTGAAGATTGAGAGAGGAATCGTACCAACAAATTTATTATGCCCAAGAAAGAGAGTGTTTAGTGTTCTCAGCCGGCCGAGGGTCTTCGGGATCATACCGCTGAGGTTATTAAACGATGTTGCGAAGAGTTGAAGAGAGGACAAGTTTCCAAACGACGGCGGAATGTTTCCTGTCAAGTTGTTTTTTTCAACTATGAGTTGTTGGAGATTGGACAAGGAGCCGAGTTCCGAAGGCAAATTTCCTCTGAGTTTGTTCTCACCAAAGTCAAGGACGAGCAAATTAGAGCAACGGGAGAGATTCAATGGGATTTGTCCACTGAAGGAGTTGTTATAAAGGATTAACTTCTGCAATCGAAACAAGCGGCCAAATTGCGAGGGAATTTCGGAGTGGAAATTGTTGCTGTGCAGATTGACTTCCCTCAAAAAGCTGAGGTTACCAATACAGGGCGGCACGACCCCGGACAGGTTCTTGGAGCGGAGATCCAATATCGTGACTCTTTGGTGTCTATGACTGCATGTGACACCGTACCACTTGCAGAAGTGGCTAGAATCATTCCACGAGCTCAAAACCCCATTGGAATTGGCTACTCGGGCCTTGAATTCTAGCAAAGCAAGCCGATCAATCTCGTCCCTGCCAGCTTCCACTAAAGCTAGGACACTCCCTAACAAAAGAATGATGGTAGTTAACCATAAGACTGACCTGGATGAAACCCGATCTCTATGGGGAAGGTCCATGAGGATTGGTAATGGAGCGTTCTCAGCTTGAGTCTCTTAAGGTGTTTGTGCGAATTGTTTCAAAACAATTCGCAAAATATATAACGGCCAACATGATCTTCCGTACTAAAACATGTTGATGTAATCAATGCAAGAATAGTCATGACAGATCTTTCATGGGCCTCTCAAGTTGGGAAAAATTAAAGGCTGTGAGTTGCAATTTGCAAGGAAACTATTAATGATCAAGTCAATGAACGAAAGCTGAAACATCATGTGGCCCAGTTCATCACTCGTTTCCTCGTTAATTGCCCGTGCTGTAATAGAGGCGACGACTTTTCTCTTTTCCGTGCATAAAAAATCCTGACTTTCAGGTACTCAGAACACAATAAGCGCGAGTTTCGCGAACAGATCTTCGTCCTAATCACATTGAGACTAAAATAACCAAAGTCCAGGATCAACGAAACTGTTATACCACTATTTTCAAAAAAATTATCTAAAAAGTTCTAAACTTATCATATGACAACTAATTCAATCCTAAACTTATCAATCGTGCCAATTTAATCATAAACCTTTGAATTATGCCAATTTAGTCGTGAACTTTTTGATAGTTTGCTAAGTCCTGAACCTTTTAACGATTTGCCATTTTATTCCTTTCGACTAATTTTGACGGAAAATCACTAACGTGATGGTCTAGTCAACGTTATCCATCCGACGTGGCATGGCGGGTGCTGACGTGGCATGGCTCGCGTTGACTTGAACAATTTTTGCAACTTTTTTAATTTAATGAAATTTTTTTTCCTGTCCTTCCTTTCCTTTTCTTTTTCTTTTCTTTTTCTGTTTTCTTTTCTCTTTTTCCGTTTTACCCTCCGCCGCCCATCGTCGGGCCTCGTCAATGGCCAGTGACCTCTGCTAGCCTCAGGCTCAAGCGAGGGACGCCCGCGCCTGGGCTAGTGAGGGTGGCCCTCGCCTGTGGCCGATGGGATAAGGTCCTGAGGATGGAAAAACGAAAAAAAAAAAAAAAGAAACGAAAAGGAAAAATAATAATACAGAATAAATTTGTATAATTAAAAAAAATTACAAAGATTGTTTGCATCAGCACCAACCGTTCTACAGAGCCTTCCGTCCTACGCCGACGTGCCACGTAGGACGGCCAGTACCGACTAGACCGTCACGTTAGTAATTTTCGGCCAAAAATTGCCGAAAAAACTAAATTGGCAAATGTTTAAATCTTTAGTGCTAAATTGGCATAATTGAAAAGTTTATAACTAAATTGGCAAATCGTGGAAAGATTTAGGATTAAAGTGGCACAATTAAATGGTTCAGAATCGAATTAGTAATCATATAATATGTTTAGAACTTTTTGGACGATTTCCCCACTATTTACTGCAGAGAGTGTAAAATGAAAAGCATGGAGAAAGGCAAAAGTTGCAATAGAAGTCAAGCATTGAGATAATATTTTCTACAAATTGCAATGTTATGATAAAATAGTTCATTTCTCTACACAATGTCCATGTTATGCAGTTGGTATATCGTTTTTTTTTTTAAATTTCTTAATAGTGCTTATACTGAATAGGAGAGCAAAATCTCTATGATGGTGAACAAGTATTTATTTTAAAAAATATTACTTTTTAGACCCATTTTGGACATGTGTTTGACTCATTATATTAGTACGCAAATTACATTTTACATCTTAAATAGTTATAGATGAATTACTAATTAACAATCGTAAAGTCCACACTATTGTATCATGATTATTAACGTCTTACCATAGTCACATTTTCATTTCAAAATATTATTGCACTTGTAAAGAAAACTAGGTATGTTTTTAACCCCGCGGGAACATAGCTTGTTAGAAAAGTCAACAAGTTGATGTTGGCAGAGGCATTTAATTGACGTAGTTGCAGTTGGCAGATGCATTGAATTTAAGCAGTGCGACTTGAAGTCAAGTCAAGCATCTTGCTTCTTCTTCTTCTTCGGACAGTGGTAGGTAAGACAGCTCACATCGGAAAAGTCGTAGGACGTCGACCTGACGGGCGTTCCACGGCAAAACCTCCACCTGGCATAATTCCACTGAAGGGAGCAACAATGGGACCGCTTTCCAAAAATTAAGTGTCAATTGGTCCTACGGGGTGGTTCGACAGCCTCACTCATCCCAGCCAAATCGCCAACTTGTCATGGCAAAGTCCACACATGTCTAACCAAACACTACCACCCGTTTCAACCAACTCACGTTATGTTAGCGACCACTCGCCCATCGGGACAAGCTTGTCTGTAAATATTGCCCAAGGGACTCAGATAGAGTTTCTGGTATTTAGCTTATTTTCTCCTTTTGAAACTCATCACCTACACATTTTTTTTTTCCTTCACTAGCTTAAGCATTGGAGCGCCAATCCCAATAAAAAAATAAAGATGCTTTTAACCCGTGTTTGTTTGCACAAGCTCAAATCTAGGCTGGAGTTTCGACAGATTCCTCAAAACTAAATTATACTCTAAAGAGAAAATAACAAGCTTCTCTTCCATAAGTTTATTATTCTCTGCATAAATATGACATGTCAGTTTATATAAATGTATAATTGATTTTGGATTAGATTCTTGTGACTCATCATATAGAGTTGTGCAAATCACTCCTAGATCGTAGAATTAGTAAGAAAAGAAATACTAATTATATAACATGCTAGAATTTTCATTTCAAAAGATTATTGCATTTATAAAGAAAAAAACATAGCTAGTTAGAAAAGTCAACAAGTTGCAGTTGGCAGATGCATTTAACTGAAGAAGAGCAAGTTCAAGTCAAGTCAACCATCCTGCTTTTTCTTCTTCTTCGGACCGTGGTAAGCAAGACAGCTCACATCGGAAAAGTCGTAGGACGTCGACATAACAGAAATAAGTGATCGAATAATAAAATAAGCAGAATAAGAAAATAAATTAACACTAAATTTACATGCTTCGATCATAATAATCTATATTCACGATGAGAGAATTCCAATATACATCAAGTGATGAAATGGAAATTACATCCACACTCGAGTCATTCAAACACTCTGAGTGAACAAATCTTACCACTAGATTTAATCGGCTTCAACACTAAAAGTTCTTGATGTAATTCACAAGCAGAAGCTTCTCTTTGATACTCTTCACAATAAACATCCACTTTTTATGTACAGGTAAGAATTGGATCCAAAATAGAAAATCTTTTTTTATGAAACCTTCTTTAACTAAGAAACCATTTAATTGGGAAATCCATTAAAAATAGGAAACCTACTTGAATTAGGAAACTTTCTTTTTTGGGATCAAACTCGAGACATATTTTCAATAGAGTATAATAAATAAATAAAAAAAGCAATGATATGTACCCCGTAATAACATTTCAGCAATATATTGCAAAGTCGAAGCTTTAGCTTTTACAATCAAAAGAGACAGCTGAGGCTGCCTCGACTCCATCCACAACCAATTTCACCTTCCCATCCTCACTGTCAACTTCACCGCCGCCATGCTGCCTCCTCCTTCGCCACCATTACCGCCACTGCCACTGCCGGAACTGCCATGTTCGCCCAAGTCATCAAAAGGAGCAGCGGAGTTCGAAACGCGTGCAAACGAAACCTCGTGGAAGCCTGAGGAGACAAAGACAAGACCAAAGTGAAGCTCGGGCCGCAGATGCAGTTAGCGTAAATGCAGCGGAGCTTGTGAGCGATGAGCCGAGATGTAAACAAAATGAAATGAAATGTAATTCAAATAATTTTCAATTTTTATTATTTGAATGTAATGCTCAAATTTAGTGAATATTAAGTAGAATTTATTCAAGTAATAAAATAATATATCACACATTATTTTACTTTATTTTTTAGTTAAACGGATAATTGATGCTTTTATTCATGTAGTTAACAAGAATTATACTTCAAATTTTGAGTGTTATTCATTTAATACGATATATTTATTTTTTTGAATTATTTACTGTTTAAAAAGACTAATTTTATATTTGAAGACACTTTATCTTTATTTTCTTTTTTTGTCAAATATACAATCAATGACATAAGTCGAAAGAAGATGAATATCTGGGAAGGATAATGGAAATGTAATTCAAGGTTTTATATTATTTCTTTGATGGTTAACACCACGAAAAATTCAAAACTGGTACACCTGTGATGAAATTACCACAAACTAATTTTTTATCACCAAAATCTCCAAATTGATAACCTATGACAAATTTATGTTAAACTAATATGGATTTCCACGTGGACTTGCCATGTCAATTGAGTTATTGCCATGTGTCATTCAACTTAGCAATTTCACAGTAAAATTTGACAAAAACTAACGGAGGGTAAATATATTATGAATATACCAGTTTGAGGTTTTTTGTAACCCAAAAAATAATTCGGGTTAAATTTGTCATGGTGTACTAATTTGAGATTTTTGATAACTCAAAAATTAGTTTTGGGTAAATTTGTTACAAATATACCAATTTGGGTTTTTCCAAGGTATTAACCCTTTCTTTTATTGGACGAATCCACTTGAGAATAATATGCTTGCTTTCTATCCATTCTTAAGTTTAAATTTAAATATAATAAATGATAGACGCTTGAGGATGAAAAATTACAAAACTAATGCTAATTGAATAAATATGAGCCATCTGGCACGATTAGCTATATGGTTTGTCATGTGGCAATCATAGAGGTTAAGTTTGCCATGTGGTGATCACAAAAGCGCATATTCTCTCAGCTCCGGCTTTACCTATAGGTATAAGATGAACAAATATTGATACATGTAATCACATATTCCTTTTCATAAGCTTTTATATATTTAACCATAGAGGAAAGTCATTTAGTAAATTTTTTTGGTTTTAAAAGCCAAAACAAACAGGCCCAGTTTGCAAGAGAGCAAGACAAACGTCCATATTACCAGATATCTGGAGGTACTTATATTAGAAGCTAAAGCAAAACAAATTACATTTATTTTTCATAGATCTTACTTGGATTGCCAAGTGACTAGTCTCCATTACTTGTGGTTTTGCTATTGCCATATTCAAATTGTCTTTGAACGGAAAAATTCCATATCCACTTCCAGACAAAGCAATGATTATGAAGACCACGATTCCATATGCAGTTCAGATTTTACATGAACTAGGTAATATCAATGAACTCAAGAAGTTTCTTCCTGATTCCTCGGAGTTTAGTCAATGC